TAAAACCTTTGTTGTACGCAGAGCCATAATTGGTTTGTTTTAAGTTTAGAGGTCCGAAACTATTTTTTTAAACACAGTAAATTTTGATACACTGCCTAGCATACGATTTACAAATTAATTGCTGCAAATTGCGATTAGCAAATTTCAAGTCGAAAATGTAATCCGTTGTCAAACTTCAAAGTCAAAAACATACTATATGTCATATTTTAACGCCGATAAAGAAGTTTGACTTCAAAAAGCAACATGGCGCGTAACGGAAAAATGTGACGCGTAACGCAAAAATGTTACACTAAATTTTTTTCCAAACCCGATAAAGAAGTTTCACTTCAAAAAAAACCTGTGAAATGAACCGACGTGAACAACGCTTAGAAGGCTGTTACTATATCAGAAAATAACTCTGAGCACTATGCCGTCATTTCTGAGCGGTACAGGTGAGTACGTGAGTGAATAGAATTTATCAGGTACAAATGAGGAATTACGACTAATTATTAATGTACGGCTTTGTTATAGTGTATAGATAATTAAAAATAAATGTCGAAAAACCTAGTGCCGTACTAAAGTGATGGTGCCGGAAGTCGGTGCAAACACACACTCACATGTACCACTCAGAAATGACGGCATAGTGCTCAGAGTTATTTTCTGATATAGTAAGGGCTTGGCCCCATCACCACGGGTACGGCACCGTGGACGGTGGACCGCGCGGCGCGCTTGGCTCGCATTCGATGTTTCGCAGTCGGTGTGTAGGTACGTGCAAAAAATGGCTGATAATATCGATATAGACTTTTTTATTTCGTTAGTAGAGGCACGTCCCGTGCTCTGGGACAAAACAATTTTAAGGACAAACATCTAAAAACAGAAGGGTGGAAAGATGTTTGCCGGAACATTTTTGAATCATTTGATGACAAAGACAATAGAGAAAAAACAAAACTGGGTGAGTAGGTACGAACCACTTATTTATCTTTGATGATTTCGTGATAACCATAGGTATTTACCGTGGTCTCATCAAGCTATAGGCACGTTATTTTTTGCGAAATTGCCCTTTCGCTGTTGAAATAACATCTACTAACTAAGCTAGGTCGGTCGCAGACGCAAAACAAAGAGAACCGTGTCGTACAATGCTCGTCTTTACTTGTTGGTATTTTATTATTGACGTCGTCGCTTACACACCCAGATTTGGTAAGAAATTATTTTTGTTTCGTGAACGGTTTAGAGACTAAAGTTGTGGTGCCGGAAGTCAGTGCCCATTTTTAATTCGACGATCCCGTACCCGTGGTGATGGGGCCAAGCCCTAACAGCCTTCTAAGCGTTATTCACGTTGGTTCATTTCACATGTATTTTTTTTCCATGGGCTTGTAGTCTATAGTTGTGTGCCAAGCACTCGTGATAAATCGGTCGTAGCTTGACATTGTAGTATTTCTAGATAAAAGGTTAAAAAAATTATTTAAATTCGTTTATATTAGGTCCTTACATATGAAATTGGCGTTTTGTATGGGAGGAACAAAAAGTCGAATATTTTTAAATATAATATATTTAATTAATCAAAGTATGAACCATTGTTTTCTATGCACTTTTGCCATCTCATAGGTAGTTCATTTATCCCTTTACTAAAAAAAACCAGTCGAACGGGAATCAATAAAATCTGTGAAGGCGATTTGGACTGCCCCATCAGAGTTAAATTTGTTCCCTTGCAAGAAGTTGTCCAAATTTCGAAAAAAATGGTAATCTGTTGGAGCAAGGTCCGGGGAGTACGGAGGATGTCTTAGACATTCCAATTGAAGCTCTTCTAATTTGGTAGCCGTCTGTTGTGCAGTGTGTGGTCTAGCGTTGTCGTGAAGTAGCAGTGGCGTGGAGCGATTGACCAGCCTAGGTTGTTTAGCCGCTAGCTTTTCCATCATGGTTTCCAATTGCTGACAATAGACATCAGCCGTAATAGTCTGGCCAGATTTGAGAAAACTGCAATGAACAATACCGGCACTAGTCCACCAAACTCTTACAAGTAACTTTTTTGGGGTTAATTTTCGCTTGGGGCAGGATTTGGCTGGCTGGCCAGGATCCAACCATTGCGCTGAGCGCTTCCAATTATCGTAAAGAATCCATTTTTCATCACAGGTAATGATTCGATTTAAAATACCTTCATTATTGTGCCGGTTCAGTAATGTAACGCAGCAGTCGACGCGCGTTTGCCGGTTTGCTTCAGTCAATTCGTGAGGTACCCATCTTTCAAGCTTTTTAATCTTCCCAATTTGCTTCAAGTGAATTAAAACAGTTTTATCACTAACACCGCAGCCTGCAGCTAACTCGGACGTGGTTTGCGATGGATCCGCTTCCACAATAGCCTTCAATACTTCATTATCAACTTGAGTCTCAGGCCGTCCACGGGGCTTGTTCTGCAGGTCGAAATTTCCAGAACGAAAACGTTGGAACCAAAAACGAACTGTGTTTTCTTTTGCAACATGACCGCCATACACATAATTCACCCTTCGAGTCGTTTCCGCAGCACTAGTGCCACGGCGGAACTCGTACTCGTAAATAATGCGATACTTTAAGTTTTCCATTTTGTAAAAAGAGTGACGCAAACAGAAAAAAACAGAGAAGAAAAAAAAAATGAATGACGGTCATCGAAGCACAAATACATGAGTAAATAGCTGTACAAATTTTAATTTGGAATTCTTAACCAAAGAGGAGATATTTGAGGTCAAAGTGGCCAAAACGTAAAACGCCAATTTCATATGTAAGGACCTAATATTAATAACCCGTAGTGCCTGTGTCACTTGTTGTTTTGCTTACTGAAGGGCCCACAGTCGTCTTATTCGCACGCTCTCATTTCATATTATGAGAAAAATTTAAATTTTTACATTACGTAGTGGCTGAAGGCGATGCTGTATTAATAAACGAAATTTGTTACGAAAATTGTGACATTTTTTGCTCATTGCGTATTTTTTTTAGCTTCATCTTCTGAAAGTTAAAACGTGATGTATAAATGTATAAAGCGATGTCAAACAGGCAGAGGCAAAATTGTTAGTATTTTAACGACTGTGTCTTACATTTACACCATTTCTCAAGTGCGTAGAACGGACGAGAAGAAATGGCATGCAACTCTCAGTCACTCTTTTGTTATGTAACCAATATAGTTGTGTGGAAATAAATAAATTATTAACTTAAAAAATAAATTTGAAATCGTTAAGATCACTATTTTTGTGTACTTAGATAAAGTATAGTTTTAGAATTAAAATACATATATTGAATACATTTAACATAGGCTGAAGTCTACTTGTTTTAATAAAATTCAAACTAAAAATGAAAGCCGCCTTTTTACCCGAATTAATTTGAGAACAACACTTGCAAAAATATTCTTTAAGATACAAATACGAATCAAAGGTAAATGACGACATGATCAGTATAAGTGAACTTAAGGATTATCAAATACAATAGGAACTAATTTATAAATAGTATTATTAAATGTAAATGTAAGATACATACCAATCCTGATTCCCTACTGTTTTGCAGTGTTAAAGAAACCACCCATAGTAAAATATAAGATTAAATAAATTAGGAAAAGAATTTAAGATATTGACGTGCACTGACCCCGTAGGAGTATGAAGCGTACACATCCAAATCTAGAAAGTTTAAATAACAAATAAAAAAAACGTTTTTTACAGGTAATACACGGAGGCGATAGCACGCGGTGAGGATACATTCTATATATATTTTATTTTCGGGTTTGTTTTGCTACTTTTTATTTTTTGTTACAATTTAGTCATATAAAATATGTCACAATAGATACTAGAATAATCGGCTGTAACGAAGGAATCAGCTGTTGAAAAAAAAAGACAACTGCACCTGGCACGAATTGATTGAACCCTGCACACGGCTATGGATAGATGGAAAGAAACTTATATGCAAATTATCGTAGACGTTATTTTTTTTGTGACACTACTGATTAATATCCAGAGAAGTTAGCTTCGGTTTTTTATATTCATAATTGTAATCAAGAAGAGCCCTTAATAATATCAGAATGCCAAATGAATTAGAAGACAAATGTCTCATTTAATAGAAAAAAAAATGATTTTGTATGCTGCATTCATTAGTTATGTCTAAAGTGACCATTTATTCTCCGACTCAAAACGGGACATTGGTTTAATTTAGGTCAAATAATAAGTAGTCAATTAAAAACAAATCACTAAATTTATTTATCTAGAAAAATTTAGTTGGCTTAAAAGTTAAGTATCACAAAATATAGGTATCTAAAATGTTTAGTAATATTTATCAGAAGAACAAATTTGTTTTAATTTAGCTGGTGACGATTTCAAATATGAATGAAACTCTTGATTTTTTTATATTTTGCTGGTCAAATTGCCGCGCAGTTTCTGAAAACGGGACAATTTTGCGTCCCCCAGTTCATTTCGGGGACACCGTGACTCGAAATTTGAAAATGGGACAGTCCCGTTCAAAACGGAACGTCTGGTCACGTTAGTTATGTCACACAATGTGATGCCAATAGAGATCTGGGGGCCTACCATGAGCCCTTATTGCGAGCCTATTGACAACCAACAACTGTGATGCATCGCTTATTCATACCATGTCGTCGTATAAAGCATCATCATTTCAAATGGGTTGTATAAAGACAGCTCATGGTAGGCACCCTGGTTTAATTAATTAAAATTACTGCGCTACTGTTACTTCCAATAGGAAGGAAGTAACAGGGTAAGCGCCATGATCTGTGAAACATGAGCATTTTATATTTTGAGGATCATTCTTGGTTTGTAATTAATTCAACGTTATTTACGAAATGTTTAATTTTTAGATATGTATGTAATTTTATCGAAACTTTCTCTGAATCTTAAGCTCCTAATAGTTTTAGATTTACAATTTATTCTAATTAGAAAATTCATGCTTAATATGATCCATGTATAATTTTTGTTTTATGATGCACTATATCTAGGAGTCGATATTTTTAATTACGCGGCACGGGTTCGAATTAATTGCAATTCTACGAGAAAATGAAATTTCCGAGTGAGTGAGTGAATTATCAACAATATTTGAATGATAATAATAGAGCCCAAATAAAATACCCATTATGAACCGTAGTTTTCTATATACATATTTCGTTTGATATGTTTTTTCGTGTGAAGTGGAACTAGCCCCGATGCTTGCTTTAACTTTTTGTTGCCTTATTTACTGAGTTTAATATAATTTAACATTCATTTATGTAGTAGTACATATTAATATTATAATGAATTCTGTAATATTGATTTTTTCTTAATTAATTGTAACACATTCAAGCTACTTAAATATTTGTAGGTATAATACGGAGATTCCAGCCAGACCAAAGACCACAAGTGAAACGAAGGCTGATCAATCACCCGTTATTGATGAACTAAAGCTTATAAATGAACCGGAGCGCACAATTAATGTTCCCGAAGCAAAGCACCTCGAGAGGCCGTCTTCTCTCGAAGTACGTCCTGTCTCTGAACAGATCAGCATTGACGTAACTTCTCATGGTTCGATCTCATCTCACCCTACTCCATCCCTTACCAAGGATGGCTATGTTGATTTGAAATATTATCATAACAAATTGTGGTAAAATTGCGGCAGCTCTAAGGGCTTCCATTGTCGTTTCATGTTTAAATTTGAATCTCTAGATATAGCTTATTATAAGGTGTAAACCAAAGCTTTTACGGTAAATCGTCTATTCCTTTCAAGAGGAGTAATACTAGCTGCCAACTGTTTAAATGTCGGGTACTAATTTATGTGGTAACTATAATGTGTACAAATCAATTGCACAAAGTATTATTTATTTATTAATTTAATCGATGTTGTTAAGTATTAATAAGTTATTAAATTTTATATAAGTGGCTTTAAGCGGCGTTTAAGTTATCTGTTACATTCCCATTGATGGCATTTTTATTGTGACATTGTGTTACGGAGCGGAAGATTTCACCGAAAGGATATTTTTAAATGCTCAAATAATATTTAAAATGTTGAAATTTTTAGCCAATTCAAAATTAATGAACACGTTTTGGGTTTGCTCTTTTATGTGTAGTTTCCTGGCACCTGTGATAAATTTATATTTTGATTAACTTATAAGTGCTATGTTTTAATACTCGTGCTAATGAAAAAAACACGGGATCAATTTAAACGGTAGTCACGAGGCCTTTTTACATTATTATATTTACTAAATATTTTGATTTGCAATTAAATTATTATTAATAATGTTTGTTTTACTTTTCCTGAAGTTATAAAATATACCTATGAAAATGATACATAAAAATATCAAACAAAATATAAAAAAAACATTTGTGTAACCTAATTATAAATTAATTAATTAATTATAGACCAGGGTAGAAGCCATTAAAAATAATAAAATGTGAAAAAAAATAATAGTAGGATGAAACCCATTGGAAAAGGAGCAGAATATTATAAAAATTAAAGGAAATATAATTTACGGGCGATCTGAGGTCGGGAAGGGGAAGGGGGTGAGTTTTTAAGGGTAAAAAACGGTTTATCTGGATTTCCGGCAAAACTACTATTTATTACTATTTTAAGATAACTTATATACCTGAGTGGCCTACGAAAAATTTTAGCCAATCAAAAGGTATTTCATAGAGAAATGGGAATTGGGACGGCGGGTCTGGGCCTTACTGTATACCTGCTATTTCGTAGCTGCTGTAAAAACCGTTAGCCTAGCCAGTATTCGAGAAACAGGGCAGTGAACAACATCGTTTATAAAAATACACGTGCAGGCCGAGTTACTTTAAGAGAATTGTGACAAATTTACTTAAAAAAGAAAAACTTTTGGAATCTGCATAAAAAATTAAAAAAAAAATCAGTGGCGCTACACCCTCGACACTTTGGGTCTAAGACATGTCGGTTTCCTCACGATGTTACCTTCGCTGTTCGAGCAAATGTTAAATACGCACATAGAAATAAAGTCCATTGGTGCACAGCCGATCGGGATCGAACCTATGACCTCAGGTATGAGAGTCGCACGCTGAAGCCTCTAGGCCAACACTGCTCATTGGAATCTGCATAGCAAGGTAAATACTATCTTTATTTTAATCTGTATCAATCAACTCTAACATAAAAAAAAATATTTTCTGTCAAAAATAGTATGTTTAACGTAAAATAACCCATAAAAAAAATTAAAATTTAATGCCATTTTGGTACAAGATTAAAAAATAATAATCTCCTAAATAATAATTTTGCACAAACAAATTTAGTTTAAGGGCTCCCACACAAAACTGCGAATTCGCATCGCATCGCAAATATTTGCGAATTCGCACGAACGCACCGCAAGAAGTTCCGATCTGCTTCGCATCGCACATTCTTGCGATATTACGTCATCCTTGGTGACGCCATTTTAGTCCGCTCTGAGACAGCTTTAGAGAAAGACGCGCGGCGCCTCCGCCGCCTTCTTTGTTTATAAAAAATTGCGGAAAATAATATAGATTTTTTAATATTTTTAATTGAGGAGCGTCCCGTCCTTTGGGACACAAGTGATGAACATTATAAAAATAAATTTATTAAGAAAGATGCGTGGAAGAGCGTCTGTGAAAGTTTGCATCAGAGTTCATAATCGTAATAAATGGATGAACCTAGAATCTTCTTTTTCTTTTATATCTATTTAACAATAACAGAAGTGCAATTATCTTTTTGCGATCCATCTTACGCGTCCTAAAAACACGTCCAGTACGGCTGACTACGAAGGAATGGTCGCCCTACCAAACGGTTCATCAAACTAAATCGTATCGCAGAAATTCGCATCGCAGTTTTGTGTGGGAGTCCATACTCACGATAAAATTGTAATGGCATTATTAATTCGATTTTGTCTTTTCAGATAATCAGTATGGATGAATCTGTTTGTATAATTTGCAATAAAGCAGATGATAAGATAGTTTCTGATATAAAAAAAGTGTGTGTGTGTGTCAGCTACGACGCACGATTGGAGTTTACTCCTTACGAACGATAATTATGATATATATCGAATAGAAAAAAATAGAAATGGGTCGTAATAATTTAATATAAGTATTATGAAATATTATATAAATATAAAATATATTTAATCAATTAATTAAACATAATAAACAAAGATGGCGATAATGTTCTGTGGCTGTCGACCATATTTTCATACTAATGCCTTGATCACACGTACCGAGCAAACCGGCGAGACAGTACTCTCGGTCGAGCACTCGGTACGTATAAACATAGCGCCGAGTGCTCGGCCGAGCGCTCGGCCGAAAGAAGTGGCGAGACAATAGCTCGGCGGCCGTTCTACTTACTAGACCGAGTGACCACCCTCCTCCACCCTCCCGCTTCCCCGCACTGTCTCGCTCACTCACTCGGCAGGTTTGAACATACACTGTCTCGCCGCTCGCCACTCGGCCACATGATTGTCGCGACGCCGCACGTGGTTTTTTTGAGTGCAGTTGTTTAATGTTTTAAAGGCCTTGTTAATAGAACTGAATGATTTCAAAATGCGTGTGAACAGCTACTCGGTTACTACACTGTCTCGGCCGAGAGACATTTTACTGTCTCGCCGGTTTGCTCGGTACGTGTGATCAAGGCATAAAGGTGGTAGATGGTGGTGGTAGTAGTAAAGAATATATGTTTTTATAATATAAATGTTTGTAGTAGTAATAAAACGTACCTACATCATCTATGCCCAAATAGGATTTTCTTTCTGTGAAAGTTACCTTTATAGTAAGAGAAGAATAAGAATGAACAATCTTTTTAGTTTTAATTTCACTGACCATTTTGACGGGTAAATTTTCGATTGAAAATTAGGGTGCTTTTTCGATATTAATTCAAGGTGAAATATTTAATATTTCAGATCAAATAAATTATATAGCGCGTATTTAGGATACAACAAAAAAACTAGTATGCGTCACTGACCGCACCAAGCAACATTATTCACTCAATTCAACAACGAAAGAAAACCCCCCAAGCCGGCTGGTCACCGTGGGGCTCAGCGACTACTACCCTCCTAATTCACGATTTTTAACAAATACAATCAATTTCAACAGTACTCACCCACCACATCACATCTCTCCCGCAACAGAAAATAAAGTGAATGGGTAACGCTATCGCGCCATGATACACGACTTTTTTATTTGTGGGGATACGGTTTCACTTCGATATATTACAATCCACCGAATAATATAAGAATACGTTAAATTGTAAGCAGTACGTTAAGTTCACAATCTTTGGACAGTTTACAATCTCGCGAGATAGATTACAATCTAACGGTGTTTACAATTTTACGGTGACATATATAAGGGTGTAATATAGGTATCAGTAGGGGTATGGTGATCAGCCTTCTCTTCACACGAGTACATTGAAAGCGAAAAAATAATTGGCGAAGAGACTACAATATACACAAATGAATTTGTTTTTGATTCTTAATCTTACACTAAGGTTGCATCTCGATTTTTAAAAACAAATTACTAAGCTATAACCATTGTTTTACCACCAAAGGGATTTAAATAACTAAAAAGATATTTGGGAAACTGCTCAAAACATGCCAAAAACCTATCAAATAGCTTATGTTGCGTTGACTTTAGAGTTTAGACAGCGTACTCCAATTCGCTTACTAAACAGTAGATTTAAATAGGTGCACCAATAAGTGGTTTCCTTAAATCGTTGTTAACTAATGGGACTGATTCTGTAGCAGGGTTCATAAATTAAAATACAAAATCAAAGAAAAACTTTTATTTGATAATACAATTTCAACCTTTCGCATGTAATCAATTACTATCTTTGGATTCTATTAGCTATAATGATACAGAGAAGTAGAGATCGAATGGAAACACCTGTAAGTGGGAAAATAATGTTCTGTAGAATCACCGTGAACTTGTAAGCAAGAATCATTTTGTGTAAACGGTACTTTTACAATACAAAAAGCAATAAAGTCGTAATCATGATAATTTAGTCCTGTAAATGAGTTCATGGTTAATCTCCAGAGCATTAATACATATTACTAGCTTAGTATGGTTAGGACTTGTTGTACATTAGGCTCTTTTATCTCTGCCTTTTAATAAATTTAAGAAATGTATTAAAGAAAAGCTGTGTAAAAAGGCTTACTATAAAGTTAACGATTACCTAGTTGATAAAAGGGCCTGGGGGACTAGTGCTGGAACAGGCTACTTCTATAAATTAATACAGACCTAAATAACCATGGCATATGAATACCTGGTCTTTCATGGTTTTTTTCTTCTAAATATATGAAGAATTTAAATTTAATAGCCGTTTAAAAAAGATTTTTATTGTAAAACATATTCTAGTCCAAATTTTACTCGGACCTGAAAGTCGTCAATGTTAAACATAATAATGACATATTTACACTCAGCCCTGTCAGACACGGAAGTGGGCAGCAACAAGTAAATAGCTCACTCGCGTAGCCAGTGCTCACGCCCATGCTGTGACTCTTGCATGTGAGCACTAATGGCCACGTTATTCCAGTATATATGGTTATATTTCCAGCAGTAGGGCAGAGGTAGAGAGTTATAGAGCAATCAATGCCGTACATATATGAAAGAATGTGGCATTAAATTAGAATCAATAAAAAAACACTCAAACAACTACCAACCATACTAAAACCATAGATTAACGGATAGTTACAATAATTTGTTTGATGAGTAAGTAATCGTGAATGTAGCTATCTCTAAGTGTACAAAGCTGGAACTACTATATACAATGTGGTAAAATCATACAGCCGTATTACAAAACGTAGACTAGATATACCGCGTTTTATAATAAGACCGATAATAATCTATGTGTTATATTGAGGTGTTAAAAAACAAGCTTCAAGACCTGACTGAACAGACATTACATTTAAAAAAAATCCAACTTATTAAAATGTTTGTAAAATAAATGCATATAAAGAAAAATAACTTTTTTTTTAATTCAAATAAATATACATAATTCCATCAATATAACACACACAATACGATATATGTTCACAAACTGATCTTTATATTTGATCACTGGTAAACTTAATATACTAGAAAATACAGGATATTACAATTTCTATAGAAAAAATACGATATTATAATTAAATAGACATTGAAGTAGAGTAATATAGGTGCATATCTCTGAACGCAGTCCAATTAATATTCATACACCAGTTTTTTACTTACGTTAAAACGACTTTTGAACCTACATAATTAGTAATTTTGTCCCACTATTTAATGCTTGTTGACAAATCTAAATATTTGTACCACCAGGGCGTACAACTAAGTATTTTTCATTTTTATTATTTTATGTTAACTCATAATAAATCTACTGATGTCTATTTTAAGCAATATGTTGCAATTGATTGAGACCGCTGATATGACGATTAAACTGTGTTTCCACCTGATCTACCATAGTAGGTTGAGTATATCATAGATTTAATGAAACCTTATTCAAAAACAACTCATTTTACTGTTTTCAACTGTCAAATAACTTTAACGCTAGATAACCTTCACGTTTATAAATAACGGGTATCTATAAATTCAAAAGACGTTTTCACATCGCACACGTCTGTCATAAATTCGTATATTGAGCTCACCTTTCCCTTCGGTCCAATCCCATTGAACTGATTCAGAGTGCTCCATATAATTATATTACACGCAAATGTTCCAGTAAATAGTTTCTAAGGCCGAACGGCATATACGGTTAAGCGTTATCTACAAACTTACCCCCTATAAAAACTAAACGTTGCAACAAGCGTTTTAACCAGAAAACATCTCTTTTCAATACAGCGTAAACACAATTAGAGAGAAAGAGACAAAGGTAGTCTAAAGAGACACTGATTTAGTTTTTATGAAGAGGATAGGTGTACTAAACTCATTTGGGAAATACAAAACCTTACGATGACTTATAATAGTGATGTACGCAAATAATACTTACGTATCCTTACAATTTGTAATAATAAAGACTAGCATATCCTGTTACATAACGTTTTAGATAAATGGTTACCTATATATAGTATTTCACCTAAGATACCTTAAATAATTTCGATAAATATAATGAAAAAAAAAGAACACCTGTTGAGCATATTCCGATTAAGAAGCCGTATCACAGCACGCTAACTTAAATAGAAATCTTATATTAGCTTGACCCGGGGTCCAAAAAAATTATAAAATTTACGAAAATAGGCCAACCAAAGGTCCACGAATGACCAACTTGAAAATAATCATGACTGTTGGTCCGATAATACTTACTAAATATACAAAAATGCTAGAGCTGTAGGAGGCATTAGATAGGAAAGCGACAGGAATGTTTGCGGGAGTCGGAAGATGCTTCTTTCATATCACAGCTCATTAATTGTGGAAATCGTGTTATAATATTTTAATATTGATTAAAGAATTGTCTTCTAAAAACGCAACTTTGTTTAAAAATTTAGTACTGGTGAAATATGTTTTTATTGAAATGTTAGAACATTAAATTGTACCACTAGAAATGATTGTAAAGAGATCTTTAATAAATATACTGTTTAAAACAATTGGCAAGCATTTTTGTAACTAAAGGTCTTTGAAAAAAATATTTATGAGCTGTGTATGAACCGCGAAAGAGCCGAAATATTGTTGAAAATGTAAATATCCCAAACAACATTCGGTGAGGCTAAATGCAATCACTAAACCTACTTACTATGGAATGAAACGACCTCGAAACTACAAAATTTAGGTCATTCTCACTTATTATAAATTGAACTGTAAAGCTCGTCATATCGGACGCCATTTTGACGCTTGCGCGACGACATGATGCGCTAATTAAGTTGTAAGCAATCTGTGATTTAAAATGTTTCGCGTCAGATAATGTGAGCTTAGGCCAAGACTCATAGACAAGTGAGTGCGAACTGAATCAGTAACTTGGCAGGTGACAGTTCGCAATTCTCTCGGAGTTTTAAACTTTCAAGGCCGTGTTCCTTACTTACATATTATTTAAAGAGTATTTGCGACTCCTCTACACTCCCAATTTTTGGCACAGAAAAATAATCATACTGCATGAATTTTTTGACTTTGACCCCATTTAAATTTTGAGTCTATTATGCAGACAAGGGCGTTCCTAGCTGCAAGTATATTTAGGAGCCACTTATTACGAAAGCTTCATAAAAAACCGGCAACCTGTTTCATGCATTCGCGATATTGTATCACCTTTATCTATTTACAAACGTAGAGAAAAAAATGACTCCTAAATCTATAGCAGTATCTACAACGTTGGCGCATTTTCATATCTGTAAAGCCTCAGGAATTTTCCCGTTACATTGCATTAGTAAAAAAAATGTTTCTGATTAAATTGGTGAGAACTAATATGGCGTTATTGTCGCCACAAAATTCAAGTGAATATTTTGTTGTCAATCGAAAATCCTTAAGCTTTACATCAATAAACCCTTAAAAATTAAATTTAGCGCCCTTCATATAATTCGTTTGCAACTAACGGGTGTTTTTTTTCAGAGCTATAGAACTTTAAGTTGGTATTACTTTTCAAGATGGCGACCGATTTAACAGCTGTCAAATGATTTATTCTCAGTTTGGTTTGGCAATTCATCATGAATACGACTCACGCCTGAACAACGCTTGCAAATTGTGCAATTTTATTTCGAAAATAATGGTTCTGTGCGGAATACGTATCGCGCACTACGTCTATTTTATCGTCGACAAAATCGTCCATCAGAGCAATTAATTCGATTAACCATGGAACGTTTTCGCACCACGTTTACTCTAATTGATAACTCGCATTGAGGACAGGAATTGGATCTGTGTCCATCAGCTTACAAAATCCAACTTGTGCAAGAATTGAAGCCCAACGATCATCAAGCAAGACATAGATTCATCGAATGGGCCTAAAACGAGATTGCCGTTGTTCCCGATTTTCATAAGCGATGAAGCGCACTTCTGGTTGAATGGCTACGACAACAAACAAAACTGCCGCATTTGGAGTGAAGCTAATCCTCAAGTGTATGTCGAAACACCGTTACATCCAGAAAAACTGACTGTTTGGTGCGCTTTATGGGCTGGTGGCAGCATTGGTCCATACTTCTTCAAAAACGATAATGGCCAGAACGTTACAGTCAATGGTGATCGGTATAGAGACATGATTACTTACTTTTTCATTCCTGAATTGAACCATCATGATGTCCGAGAGCTGTGGTTTCAACAAGACGGCGCAACATGTCACACAGCTCGTGCCACAATCGATTTATTGAAAGACACGTTTGGTGACCGCCTAATGTCACGTTTTGGACCTGTGAATTGGCGTCCAAGATCTTGTGATTTAACACAGCTAGATTATTTTCTGTGGGGCTATGTAAAGTCATTGGTCTATGCGGATAAGCCACAAACGCTTGACCAATTGGAAGACAAAATTCGCCGTGTTATTGCCGATATCCGGCCACAAATGTTGGAAAAAGTCATCGAAAATTGGACGTCCAGATTGGATCATATCCGAGTGGCAGTCATATGCCAGAAATCATATTTAAAATGTATAGCCACAAGATTATCTTTCAAATAAAAAGAAATCATGTCAGTCCAATAATCCATCGTTGTTTTATTGCAATTTAAAGTTCTATACCTCTAAAAAACACCCTATACAAAATCATTCAGTTCAGTCTTTACAAAGGAATATGTTCGCAAATTCTAAATTGTTAAATTACATACATCTTGTACTAATCTTTAATTTTGTAAATCATAACCTTTGTACTAAAATACACTAAAACTAAAGAGTATTTGCTGGTAATTAATATGAAACGCGTGTCTTTGGTTGTTATCCATTTTATATATTGTTATTATAGAGCATTGACGGAAATGTTATATCATGCTCTTATATAGTTAAATTGTGATATATACAGCTATCAGCAACATTTATTTCTGCGTTAATTCTGAATTATTTTAATAATATTTGATTTGTGATAATGTGACATAGAAAATTTCCGCATCTTATGAATGTTTAATAAACGTGTTAATACAGACATTTCGGCAGAAACTTTGCGAATGAACTGAGAAGCGATACATGACAGAACATTTGTGAAATTTACGTTTTTTTTTACTTTATGATCTTGACGTTAAATAATAATATGTATATACCTTCGTGGCTTAGTTAATTAATTGCGATGATCGAGGTCAAATCTATAACTTTATGGTAGGCACATATCAACTGCCAATAGACACAGAAAAATGTGTACTCTGTCTCCTCTAAACAAGTCACACGAATATTTCATAAATTACACATTTAAAATAAGTTACTTCAGAACTGCATACAGCTTGAAGGCTTTTTAAGTCTTAATATTATCTTTTAAAATATTAATACAATATAAAGAAAAAATCTCAATGCATTTGTTAATAATACAAAATATAAAGAATAGTATAGCAAGTGTTGCTTGATGTGATGTAATCAAGTGGCAGTCGAAAAAAAGCGAGTTTATCTGAAAATATAATTTAATCATTACCATGTAACTTGCTGAAACTATACTAAAAATCGGACAATATTGACGTCAAAATTATTAGAGAGTGCCTATTGACATCGGAAATCTGTTTTACAGAGTAGCTCGTTAGAAAATGTTTAGTAACAAACAGTTTTATTGACTTAGATGATATCAAATTACTGTATTTATTTAAAAAAAATCATATAAAACATTTAACCATGGAAGTATAAACTAATTTTATATTAGATGTTTTGATTCTAAATGCTTGTACTATTAGACATTTCTCATTTAAATATACATACCTATGCACAATATTAGCGAGATCCCTGAGTGCTTGTTCCACTCCATCAGCCAGGTGATGATGATGAGGCGCCGGTGAAGCCAGGGCTCTAGCCTCACATTCCAATCGCGTAGCGGCAGCTCTTAGCTGCACGCGCAATTGTGGTGCACACCTAAAATGTACTTATCATTAGATAACTAAGGGGCCGTTTAAGTATTACGTAAGCAGCAGTCTGTAATCTTACTGCAATTTATCCCCCCCCCCCCCTTCCCTTGTCAGCAAAAGTAAGTAAAGTTCTCAAAAATAATAGTACATAAACGTATTAATTTTTTCGTTCGTTTTCAACATGACAATGTGTAAATAAGTGAATAATTACAATTAACATAATCCACTAAATAAGAAAATGAAACCCCATCCTCCCTATAGTGTTTAATACTTGAACCGGGTCACTGAACTTTAAATGACCTTTAGTTTTGCCCCATGTCCCATACAGAAACTCAAATCACAATTTTCTCTTTCTTATGAACCCGCTTTATGTTGTAATAACGTATAGAGCATTCAATCAAATTGAAGGAAAATCCCAAAAGGATAAATTTTATATTTCAGGGAATGTACTGAAGGAGTCAATTGACCGTTTATTTTTATTGTTGCTTTGGTTAATAATTGCAATTTCCTCTAGTACGTACTTTTTGGTACTAATTTAATTGTTTCATAGTTTTTAAACATTACAAAATTTAGCACACCTGCACGAAAATTATCCAATTAGTGAAAGATGACCTTTTTCGAAGTCAGGAAACACACTAACCTGCTAGCAGAAGCTGCAGACATACACGCACTGCTTAGGCGTGCAAGTCGTTCGGACGTTTGAAGACGCCATAACGACCCACGACCGCCGCTTCCGCCGCAGCCACGACGGACCTAGAGTTTATTAGATAACCATGAAAAAATAGTATATTATGTACTAACACTTCGTACAAACAGTCTATACCAATAAGAAAAATAAATCAATGGCGCGACAACCTTTTTAGGTCTGGGCCTCAGATTTCTGTATCTGTTTGATGATCATTTGTTAATCTAATAGGCAAGTAGGTGACTGACACACGCCGTTGACTTTTTGGGTCTAAGGCAAGCCGGTTTCCTCACGATGTTTTCCTTCACCGTTCGAGCGAATGTTCAAAGCGCACATAGAAAGAAAGTTTATTGATGCACAGCCGGGGATCGAACCTACGACCTCAGGGATGAGAGTCGCACGCTGAAGCCACTGGTCCAACACTGCTATACCAATAATATTGACAATTATTTCAAAGTTAACAAAACTTTACCTCATTCGTGCAGCATTCCAAAGACATTCTTAACGCAGCAAGAGAGTCGTTATCCTCACTGTCTGCATTTGCAGACAAAGGTGTGGCATAAATACCACCTTTCCCCAAAGGCCGACCACGTATAGACGGCTTACTAGCCACCGCTGGCTTATCATCACGCCGAGTTAGCAAACTCCCACATCGGCCCAGCCCTGACCTATCATCAGGAGATCCATCTTCTATCTCATCTTTTGGCTTCATTTTAGGACTCAAGCGTTCATCACTCTCTTTATTCTCCCATAGCTTCTTAAGGCTACTTATGCTGCCCGTGCTACGGCGTTTATCATCTTCATCACCACCACTCGTATCTAAAGATCCACTCTCGGACCTCTTCTTATCGGAATCATCACTTTTACTCGAAAGATCTTTTCTAGAATCTTCCGGAGAATTCTCAACTTTCTTTACTTGGCCGTTAGTAGAAGGCGAATTGCTGTCGACTTTCCGCAAACGTGATTTAAAATCGATTATGGATCTGCCAGATTCGTCAGATTCCTTTGTATTGTTTACTCTGTTGGTCTCAACCTTTTTAAGTTGCGACTTGAAGTCAGTGTTGGTCTTAGTGTCGAGACCAGGTTTTTTGTCAATATTATTGTTGTACGATGTCTTCCTGAGACTCGCTTTGAGATCAATTGGGGAGACCTTTTCTTTTGTCTCGGGTTTGGACTCTTTCTTGTCACCCTTTCGGAGGGCTTCCATGTTTAAGCTCTCCGACAATTCGGAGACTAATCTCGTGACGGGGTCACCGAACGATGTGTGCATCTCGAGGATTTCATGAGGGGGTGATTCTTTGAGTTTCTGTTTCTTCTTGTCGGCGCGCTCTTTGATTTCCGCGACCAGCTTCAGTTCGAGCATTTCCTTCATGATTTGTTTTGCTGGTTTTTCTTCCATTTCGGTGGGTGTTTCTAGTCTGTCCGCCGTGTCGGTGCCGGCGTTGCAGCAATCTGGTGGTGGGGGCGGTGGGGGTGGTTGCGGTGTGTCTTCGGGCGGAGGGGGAAGGTCTGGGGGAGGAGGGGGAAACTCTAATTCAGCAAGCCTTGGTCGGGGTTTGATAGGGCTGTTGGTGAATGATCTAAGAGGGGGAGCCGCGCGCGCCGCTCTGGGCGAAGCCGGCGTAGGGGCAGTTACACCTCCCGAAGAATTTGATCGTATCATGTGGGGTTGAGATCTGGCAGTTTTAGGCGATAGAGATCTAGCTTCATCTTGATGGGGTTCGCGAGGCGAGCTCGGAGCGCAGGGGGCGCCACTTTGACGAAGCGACTCCAAATAGGCTCCGATGCGAGCGCCTTTCGGAAGTGTTCCGTAGCGATTTATTGCGCGTTTCACGTTCTGAACTTCAAGCGCTGCTACTTGTACACCCTGCTGTAATAGTCAAGATTTTTATGTTAGCCCTGTACTATATCTATATCAAATATTCATAATGAATAAGGCCAATAAAATAGGATTCAAACTACCATTCCATTTACTATGTACAGACTGCTAAGTATAGACGCACACAACCGTATATTTTATACAAGTAACAAATTTGTAAGCTGTAGAAGATGCCATCTTAAAAATTAAATTGCTTCAATTGCTATCTAGATTAAAGTTAACGCAAATCATTACAGATAAAATAATAAAACAAAATGTAAAATTTTTTTTATTGTTATTCAAAATAATTTCAATACATAAACATATTAAAGAGAAATTACTGTATCATTTAAGAAACAAATGATTTTACATGAAAAAAATCGCAACTTCATACGACCTTCTCATCTTTCTGGCTAGACAAACCGACTATTTGGTTCTAAGCAACTAAAAAAAATTTAGATTTATTTAATAACTATTTTATTACAAAAATAAAACGTAATAAACAGGCGAATAACCTTAGGGACGTCATGCGATGTCTGATGTTGATGTGAAGGGCCATGGCCGTGGTGGCGACGCTTCGGCCTGTGGCGATGTTCCGATGCGCCCAAGCTCATGCCTACAGCGCCCGCTGACTCATCAGTATCTGGAGTTGCTTCTGCCAAAGACCCCTCCGATGACGCCTCACGAGCCCCAACCCGACCCCCACCTAAATTCAAGAGTATTTGTCAAATGACAATTATAAGTGTCAATTGTCAATTTTGACAGCCACCACGAGAAAACTTGTCCCTCGAGTAACCAGATATGAAAAGAACGTGATATGATTTTTGAAATGATTGCACGAACACTAAAAATCCATACAAAACGTGTTATCTACAAATATCTGAAAAATGATAGTATTCTGAAAATACGATACAACTACGATTAATGGATACTAAATATGAAAAAAATCCTGAATAGGTTTCTAAAAACATAACACAACCTATGGAAACAATATAAAAAGCAGCACCTACGTCTAATAGACAACGAAAAGACTAGTAAGGGCAACTTACACATGACATTTCGTGTAATTGAACATTCATTTCTATAATCATTGTGTAAATCGACCTAAAAGCACCTCACACCCCATCCATAAACATTAGAATAAAATGAATCAAAAGTCACGCAACTCTATGAGAAGAAACGAAAGATATAGGATCAGAAGCGACCTCTAGATAGGTTATAGCAAAATTAAACCGAACCGTAACTTCGCAACGCCAAGTGTCAAGGACATTTAATTTCTTATAAGGCTTAATAACGCAGACATATATTATAGAGATAGGTTTTTGATAAAAAATTAAGAATAGAATTAAGAAATAGGTAAAATAAGACGCCATGACGAAAACATTATGTATCCAAGAATGTAACATTTTGCAACTATATATTATATGTATATAGTTTTATTTTTAAATGCCAATTGTTTTATATCGTACATGGCACTTGACACAAGGCAAATTTAATATGTAAAAATATTTCATTCAACTAATTAGAACATTTATAATTATTATTTATATGAATATTATATAGAGGTTGACGCACCACTATAAAATATATTTCTATCATTAAAGTATTGCTTTATACAATTTTACGAATATAATGATCTGTTGCGAAATATTAAACATATATTTAAAGTATGAATAAGCCCGTTACACTTTAATAAAAAAAACATTAATGCGTCAACCTTTATTAAAAGATGTAAAATACATAAGTAGATTGAACCACAAGGCAAAATCATTTCTACCCATTGCGTATACTTACAAAATGTTTGACCCTATCGCTATACACCTGAGCGAGCGGACAAAGACAAAAATGCTAGTTTAAAAGATGCATATATTAAATATATCTTATTATAATGCTTATAATAACATGAGGCATTCATGAAATAATAATTATAAATATGGCAAATTGCATTGCTTGCTCTGAAGTCGCTCTGGCAAGACAATCCGCAAAAATAAAGGTAATATACAGCCAATAGCAAAAGCGGTTCTTAAAATAAAAATAAATATATATAGAGGTATATTCTCAACCCTAAATTGCATCCAATGGCGTCAAAAAAGGTGACAAAATAGGCGTATGATCATAATGATCGACAAATCGATAATTTTATAAAATATATGACGTTATGTAAACGATGATCGTGTTCAATGATTGCCTTGATTGCCATTAGGTAATTTTAATAATACATAGCCTATATGCACTGCCTCAATCAGCCATAATATAAAACGTGGACATGTGTTCCATAGAGAAAACATTATTTCACGTTTTATAAAGTCGGGCACGTTGAAATACATATTTAGATAAAAGTTACATTATACATATTAGTTAAGTTCGTATACGTTAATAGAGAAAAATATAAAGACGGTAATAATTTTCAGTAGCCTCTACGCCTCTACTAAGTATAGGTGAAACTTGTACAGACCCGCGTTTAGTATAAGACCGTCTAGTTTATATTAAGAACAGTGTTATCGCATTGGCATGAGTGTGCGACTGTCAACGACGACTGCGTTCGAAAAACAGCTTTCTATTAATTGACTTATTACTATTATTATATTAAAGAGGAAATCGACGTGCCAAAGATAAAAAAATAGTTTAATTAATAAATTAATGATCAAGAAACAGATATACAAATCTGAGGAAACCAGGGTTGCAACGCGATTAAAGATTGAAAAGCACATAAATGTATTTGATAATAGAAATTTCGAAATATTTAATTTAATAATTACACCGAGACGAATATATAAAGTTACATTGAAAAAAAATTACCACACTTCGCAAAAAAGGCATTCTTCATTTCTTTCACTCAAATGTCAGTAAGCATGGGGCGAGGTTCCTGCAGCTTGCATTGAGATGTTTAAGGATCAGCCTTCTGTGTCCACCGACCTCCAATTATACCTCAAGTATATCATAATCAGTCATAAAGATTCTATATAATTTATTAAACATACCCTTCTCACTATACATGAGGCTACTAAAACTAGAAGTGAACAATTTCTATACTATGCAAATGATACAGTGTAAATATTGTGCTTTCTACTTGCGTGATCTGTGAACTTTTTATACAAGGTTGACATAGGAAAGTCTTCAACATATGGGTAAAAGAATATCTAAATCTATATAATTCTTGTATAACCTTCACCGAAACATGTGTATAATCAGTTCGATAGAGTTGGTTTGGGCAATATTTGATTGGATGGCCGCGATTGACCCCCATTTTTTTTACTTTTTTTTTTAATTTTTAAACCAGCGTCCATTTATAAGTGACATTAATACTGTTATAATCTTTATATACCATAACACTATTTGCCGGGTCAGTTAGTTTGTATATAGTCCTAGAAAATTCCCAACCCACAGATTCTTATATACAAACCACTTTTAATCAAAATCAGCTACAATAACCAAATTTAATAATAAAGAATTCTTAGACACGTATTTGAATAGAAATTATAATATTTTCGATATAGTTTTTAACCTTTTATTCCGCACTTGTTTAGTGCCTCTAACATTCTTCACAGTGATGTTATTACTACTACTTGTATTACCACCGCCAACTCCGTATTCACTCACAAAAATCTATAAAATATGATAAGCTGTTCACACACAAGATGCCGACAATAGCATACATAATTTCCTTGTAATTTTTTGTACTAATTGACAATTTACAAAATAAACTTACTTAACAATAAACAAAACTTATGTTCTTTTTTGTATTACTTAACTAAAACTCAAAGACAATATGTTTCAATCACGTTGTGTAATCAACGGACTGTATCGTCAGATAAATTAAAATTATTGCATATAAAAATATATATTATTTAGATGATGATGTGATGATGATGATTATTTAGATGCTCTATATGACATAAAGCTTATTCCAAAAATCCGAAACTCTAAAAGGGCCGATGGTACTAAACAAGCCATTTGTTAAGGTGGTATAAGGTTAGACACAAACTTACCATTGAAAGAAGCCAGCCCATCGTCGTGAGTTTGCTCCTCGGTTGCATACTGCGACTCGCGAAATGAGCTGCATGATGACAACAAACTGAAAAGGGGATAATTACAATTAATAATTGATTATATACTGTGTCAAACGTAATATGACGTATTATGTCACGTGTCTTCGTTGGACTAGTTGACCAATCACAATGGAGCCCGACGTTTCGTTTGAATATGATTGGTCAGCATCATGATACTTCATATTAAGTCAACCACAATGGGTTTACAAAAAAAAATATTGTTTTCTTTATCGTGTGTTTTTTAATGTGGTGCTTTTTTTAATTTGAAGAAACTGCTTTTAGCAGTAAGACCGCTCATTTACATCCTATGTTTTATTTATTTAATCTTATTTTTCTCCTGTTTTGTGTAATTGTGATATAAATTTAGTGTTATTATTATTTTTTCATACTTGCATTAGGGTGACCTGTAATAACAAGGTACTTTCCTGACACTTTCTACTTTTCAAAACTAAAGTGGAAGGTCTTCCATTGACAAAAATCAATGTGTATCACACACATAAAGTAGTGTCGACTTCGTGGCTTCAACATGAAGACGTTCAAACCACAAAATATGGACTTTTATATGCGCGAACACCCGGTCTTACGGTGAAGGAAAACATCGAGAGGAAATCGCCATGCTTCAAGCCACAAAGTCGACGGCGTATGTCAGACACATAAAACCTACTTGCCTATAAAGAAGCATTACAATTTAATCAGGCCAATAAACCTGTGTATTGCGACACTTTTAACATACGACATCCCTAAAGCATTTAAATGGAGTCAAACAATTTATGTTTACCTGGTACGCTTGGGTGGCTGAGGTGCCTGCTTGCCGCGCCTGTTAGTCGGGCGACGCATTTGAACGCCACGATCGCCTGATGTCTGCGCCCCGATGCTCCCAGCCTTCTTCAACGACATATGAGGCGTTCCTGTACATCCCTCCTGAAGCTGTTTTTCCACTTCTGAAAAAATATTTGCTTTAAATGTGCTTACATAAATAAAACAATCGTTTATGGAATGGTTAAAGGCCCAAGATGTATCACCACACTTAAAACAAATAGTCCGTGTACAAGCTCAAGTCTGGTAGACTTTGTTCTAATATGCGTTATATTGATGTTGAAAAATTATATGAAAAATAAAGAAAATGACCAAAGACGTTCTGAGTACGATTTTTCATGTAAAAATGGTAACCAGGGTAAACATGGTTTATGTTTTGTACTTATTGCACCATATTAAATCTACACTAGTGTCGCGTGCATAATTGAAAAAAAAATTTCTTTGTGACGGCGCATCCTATTTATATACACAGTATTTTTTTTTTTTTTTAAATATAAATTTCCCACTATCCCCGACTCTTGTGGTGCGGGACCTTATTTTGTACATATATTTTGTAGAAACATATACATACATACATACACTAAGAGATTTCCTAATATACATATATATCCATATATAAAAATACACATATTTCTATTTTATATTCATGGGCCAGTGGGGGCCCGTCTCACCTCTGCTACGCTCTTGTTGCAGCGAGTGACACATCTCACTACCTTACTGCAGAAATCTTCCAGTTGCGATCTGAAGTTTTTTAATATATCCGGTAAATGCTCGGTTGTTACCTTTGTATTGATTTGTTGCTCGAGATCGCACCTGGAGGCTCCGAATACAGGACATTCTACAATGAGATGTATCACTGTCTGACTCGTTTGTGAGTCGCACGTACACGACGGATCTGACTTCAAGCCAAATCTGTGCAGGTATTCAGCAAACGCCCCATGTCCTGTTAAGATCTGCATCATTTGTGGGCTAGGTCTTTTTTTGTCTAATAATTTTGTACCCGTCTATAACACTACTTATGAAGAATTTTGTTGTTTTAGCGGTATGGGTATCTTTGTACCGTTTGTCCCACTCCGATATCGTTTTCTGTCTAACCTCTTTCCTGATGTAAGAAAGCGGTATCTTTACGTAATCCACTTTTGTCCCCAATGTTTCCGCCGTCTCCTTTGCTAAGGCGTCCGCTCTCTCATTTCCCGGTATACCGATGTGGGCCTTAATCCAATGAAGGTCTATGTTGATGCCTTTTTCTCGGCTTGTTCTTAGCTTATGACGAATTTCAACTACCTGAGGATTTAGAGAGCGTTCGCCCGTGACGGCTACCAGGGACGCGCGTGAGTCACTATAAATTGCGGCATGTTTTTTGTTTTTGATGACATCATCGACTGCACTGCGGATGGCTATTAATTCAGCTTGGTATACAGTACAATGTCTAATGTCTAATGTTGTCCCTTCAAATATTATCAGTACGTCATCCGCGAATGCCTGCATATATTCCGTTCTATGTGCCAACTCCTTAAGAAGGGGGTCAATTAACAGGTTCTATATGGTAGGGCCTCCGATAGAGCCTTGGACGCACCCTTTTGTTGTTCCCTTGCTTATCTCTTCTCCAGCATATCTTAGTGTCACCTTCCTATTTTCTAAATAACTATCCATAACTCTTCTGAGGTTTACCGGACAGCCTTCTTCTGCCAGTCGAATTTTTATTTTGGGCCACCACGTGCTGTCAAAGGCGCCCTCTATATCGAGTGAGACGAGAGTAAGTGTTTTCTTTTGTTCCAGTTTTTTGCGTATATATTTCACTGTAGTATAGAGAGCGTCCTCGGTGCTTTTCTGAGGCATAAATCCGTATTGGTGCTTGCTGGTTTTCGGTATAAGGTGCCACTTAAGTCTTTCACAAATTTTTCCCAATATAGGCAGTAGACCGATCGGTCTATACGACTTTGGGTCACCGTAGTCTACTTTGGCTGGCTTTCTCAGTACTATGGTTACTGCTTCTTTCCATTTGTTTGGAAAGTAACCTGCTTCGAGACACTTGTTTATCACAGCTAAGAATATATCTGGACTTGCATTAATTGCATGCCAGCAGATATCTGCTGTAAGGCCATCATTTCCCGGAGCTTTCTTCGGATTGAAACTGCAAGCGGCGGTGTTTAGCTCCTCCAACGTAAACGGTGGATCGTGGGTTTCATTATGTTCCACTTTGTTTACCCTACTTGCTGTTTCTCTGACTCGCCTGTGTTCTTCAGTATCATTTTCCTGATCATCGTCCGGAAAGAAGGTTTTGACAAGTAATTCCGCGGATTCTTTGGGACTCTTGTATTCACCGTCCTTGAGTAATAGTTGATCTTCGTATCTTTTGGATGTTCTAGTGATGACTCTGTATATTGTAAAAGTGTCATGGTGGAATAAAGATTTGGACACGCTCATTTTTCTTATGGTCTCCGCCAGTGTGAGCAAACGTCTTTTTCAATTTCGCAGAATATTTTCCCATGTCCAAAGGTATACACAGTATTCAATTTCGTTATTTTAGCGTACAGGCATTGTTAATACATGTTTTAACTTAAAAAAACTTGTTTTAACTCACCCTCAGTAATAGAATTATCTTGGAACATATGCTCCAGGGCGTGGTGGATTTCGCGGAATGATGGGCGATCGGATGCATTCCACTGCCAGCATCCACGCATCAGCTCGTAAACAGCCGCTGGGCATCCGGGAGGGCATTCCATGCGGTAGCCCTATGGATTAGGGGAAAACGAAATAAATTGATTGGCCCAATAAATGGTGACTTATCAGGGTATATTACATTTATAAAAACCTGGAAAATTAGACCCGAAATAATAAAAAAAATCTGTTTAATTGCAGTATTTAAAATAAAAGAAGCGTTTCATATCTTTCTTTCAAATTATGCTTACCCTGTGATGAAGAGACGGATGAGTATTTCAGCTAAATATATCATAAAAAAATAATTCTAATTATTAGCAATTAGAATTATTTTTTTTATGAACAATGGGGTTACAAGTTATTGTTTGTTGTATAAACAAATAAAATTTATTGTGACCTAACGGCAAATGTTAATTCAAAACTTGCAAATGGCTAAGATCAATGATACCTTAAAAAATATCAACGGCGTAAAGTACAAATCAGACTATAATTCTCTAAATTTATAAATGATAAGAACGTATTTGTAAAACCTAATTCCCATTACCTAAAATATTTACTGTTAAATAAATATTTAAATTTTACAATATATTCAAAAAATCCTTATACGCTCTAAAATCTAAACAAACACATTAAAGAATATTTACTATAATTCAACACAACTGTTAAAATGTTGTTTACATTACCATTGAAACCGCATTCTCTTTATGCAAAACAATAATTTGTATACAAATTTCATATAGTTTATCAAATGAAATTGCGATATTGATAACAAATATACAATTTCTATGTATGTAAATAACGTACATACATGGTGTGCGGATCGTTTAAACTCGATAAAATTAGTTTAAGTTCAGTTCAAAAACAAATTTCCATACGTCATTGTGATTATACTACTATAGTAATTTATATATAATTGATTTTCCCTATTTCTACATAATAAATATATATGATGAAATATGATGCAGCCAATATACCATAATTGAACAAACATGCTCGTAAATTAAATAATCGTGACAAAAGGAGATAATTGCGTGTCTGAAATCCCAATATCCAAATAATCCCGTGGCCAAAAAGTCGAAACCTATCTAAATTAAAAACATGTCAACATCTGAAAGCAAACTCAATAAACCGTTTCGGTGATTCTTACATGTATGGGAATGCCTAGCCATAAACCAATAATATTATTGAAGCCGAGAAATTTTATAAAACAAACGAAGACTGACGCGATAAAAATAAATCAGCATGTATAGGCATTTATGAAGGCAGTCGTCATCCTTCGTTCGTATAAACGCACCGCGATACAGTTTTTAAACCATTCGAGGCTTGAAACTTGAGGTGTACTGGTGAAAATGTCAGTGTTGAAAAATTCTATTATTTACTTCCTACTCATCTCAATGGCTGTGAATGGTGAGATTGTATTAATTATTAATCATAACTATATCGATCCAACATCCGATTTTAATAAATACAAAGCAGTTGAGAACTAACTTTGACGAGTTTAATTATAATATATGAAATGCACTTAAAAAAATACTAGAAAGAAACTCTTATGTTATTTAAGGTAAGCATAAAAAAGGCAAGCCGAAAAAGTTTTTAACACCGACCGCTAAAGGCATTCAATGTTACAATTGCCTGTCTTTCGACCATCCCGGTTGCTGGGATCCTGATCACCCCGATTATGCTAATATTACGGTAAGGAATATTTATATTAAATATATTCGACTTGGTTCTTACCACGGTTATACACTGTATTAAATATTGACCAGTCAGTTTAGGGTTTTCTTATTTAATTAATAAACTTTCTTCTACCTTGTAAATTACGTGCTGAAATTGAAAATAAGATTTCATAAAGCTGTTAAAAAATTAAAAGCCACAAGCCATTAAAAGTCATGATTTATCTCTTTTAATTTTAAGGGCATTATTAATAGCAGTAGAGAAATTAAGTATCTTAGTCTAGTATCTAATTTACTGTACATAAAACTACTTTTAAAATAAATAGTAGATGTATTGTAGTATGAAGACATTTTTTAATTGTCTTACTTTGTATACTTGAATTTTTAAAGTTGAGAAATCGCTATCAGTCAATAAAAAAATACATCAACATAAAGGAAATAAATTTTATGTCAACAGGTGCCAAACATCGACTGTTATATCCCCGGCATGGCGTTTCTATGCATCGTAATCACTTCAGAATCGGCAAAATTAGGTATGTATATAAATTAAATTGCATTCAACAATATACATTTTTACATATAATCTTTTCTAGTTGAAACCGGCCAAGAAATCGGTCCAGTGAGAGCCCGGACGTGTGTACCAGCGAAGGATTTTTCGAAGAAAACCGTTTCATACTCAATGTGTAGCAAGCTTAGCAAGGAACTGTCTGCGTCCGAAATATTCTCCCGAATCGCCGTAACGAGACCACAATGCGCGCTTTGCAAGAAACATTTGTGCACGGAAGCATCTCATTGTTAATCTTATAATCTTACAGATGGATATCTAAAGTTAGTGTATAGGTTAAAATAATTACGGTTGAGTTAAATTTTGTAATCGGTCTGTATTGTTTGTAATACTAAACGCTTACATCATTGTTTAACAAACGATGAAGTTATATTTCACACGAAATGCAAAAAGTCGAATTTGTTTTGAAACTTGAACCTTAAACGGTGTGAGCCATATTTGGTTCTTTTTTATTATATGGTTATTCCATTTTTAACTTTGTTTTAGTTTCCCAGGAAATGGTTTGATAATATTTATGTCTTTCCTTAATGAATTGAAGTATTCAGAATTATATAAAGTAGGATATGAATTTACATGGTCATGCGCAAATATATTATTGTAAATAAATAAAAGGCAATTTAAATAAACTAAACTGACTGTCAATATAAACTGACCAGTTAAATATATCATTTTTTATTTACCTATATTTATACCAAAATATGCGTGGATCTCAAAAAACTGCACCGATTTATAATAACGTGCACGTAAGTTGAGATTTCGACTCGACTTTTAGTTTCCGATAAGTTTGTGAACAAACATTACGTAGATTATTTTGCATTACCAAACACTATTATAAAAAAAAAACTTAATTAAAATTGTTTATTACGGCACTAGACAGGCATACGATTAGGGCTGACATGCAGCTGTCTTATCATTTTTAACCAATCAGTTCACGCCATGATAGAGCGTGACTTAAAGCCCCACAAGAATCTTGATTTCCTTACTATACTAAAATAGTTTTCCTACACAACCAAGTGCGCCATTTTTAAAAACAAAGCAATTTCGAATAGGCAGTTTTACTGATAGCTTTTGTCTTTCCTTTAGATTTGTATATATTGATTAATATGTAATATTTTTAGAATTTATTATCTTTATTGTTTACAAAAATAATATTGCCAAAACAATTTCAATACAAATCACTAACTATCGTAACAGAATAAAATATTGCGAATGAAAATTATACCTTCTCAAGCATGTGGTAGACATCAGCCAAGTCGACGCCGGGGTATGGTGACATTCCGTACGTCGCAATCTCCCATAGAAGTATACCAAAAGCCCAAACATCAGATTTGGTGCTGAACGTGTTATACGCCAGGCCCTCTGGAGCTGTCCATTTTATAGGGAATTTGGCACCGGCGTGGGCAGTGTATGTATCGTCACGCATGAGACGCGCCAATCCAAAATCGGCCACCTTCACTAGATGATTCTCACCAACGAGACAGTTGCGGGCCGCCAAGTCTCTAAAATGATTAAGAATTCGTCGTGAGAATTTACGAAAGACGAAATTAGTATATTCTCCGTTGAAGACTACGGGTCTACGTCATCTATTAACATGTGACGTCATATTACGTCCGTTTTACATTCTCACCTGATCAACTTTTAATAGAAATATGTCTTCGGAGAGTTTGGGTCAAGGATAAGAATAATTTTACAGGCGATGTAAAATAAATAAACAGATTGCAATACTAAAGCAGGGTCCACACTATGCCGGGGTAGTCCGGGCGGGCTGACCCGGGCGGCCTAAGCCGCGTTCATGTAGACGCCCTATAGTTATACTTAACGTTACGTAAGCGTTCAATACTTAGTCGTCATAATAGGGCTACTGGTTTTATTTTTTAGATATAATTGTAGTATGTACAGCAGCCCAAATTATATAATATTTACAGCAATACCAGTAATAATTATTTGACCAGAAATCTGGAAAGCAATTCAGAGAAAACAAAATAGAGCTAAATTTATTTATTTTACCATAAAACCAATAATATTATGCCTATTTACCTGTGAATGAAAGATCGGCTTTCGAGATAACTCATACCCGAAGCGATCTGCGTGGCCATGTACATGAGTACCACAGCATCTATATGGTCTCTATTTCCCGTACGAAGATAATCAAGGAGATTTCCCCTACTCATGAATTCTGTGATGATGTAGAAGGGTGGTTCACGTGTGCAGACTCCCAAAAGTTGGACTAAATTCGGGTGTCTCATCTCTTTCATAATGGCGGCCTCTTCGAGAAAGTCTTTAAGAGCCATAGTATCGTCCTTTAGGGTTTTAACTGCGACCTGTTGAATAAAGGGTCCCATTAGATCACTACATTATATAAAGATTTTATACAAATGACGGAGTCATTATTAGATTTCTTTAGTGCCTAGTCTAAAACTGTGTTCCAGTGGCCAATATTTGACTCTTAACATTCACATATACGAGGGGTATTCAATAAAATGTGTTAATGCGATACATTCTCCTTGAAATGAAAAAAAAATTACAGGCAGACCGGACATTAGAAATAATAATAAAGAAGCAATCAAATCCCTTTTGTTTAACAACAAATTTAATCTTTTGCGTCGTGTCAGAACGTGATATTAAAAATATACAAAACTGAACTCCGCGCCGTAATCTTTGCCTGATTTTTTTTACTACGGAGCTGGTATATCAAAACTTGAGAGCGGTATTACATACTCTTCTATATTTTACGATTATGCGTTGATGTGCTGAGCCGAGTGAGCGAGGAAGAACTTTTATTAACGACGGACGACACGCCCTACATTTGTAGTGACTGAAAAAAATATTTAAAAAGATGAAAACAATGTCTTAACAGATAGTCCTTTTTTTGTTGTTTGTTTTATAGAAGATTGTTATAGGAAGAGTCCATTACATATGGGAATGAAAAAGAGGCCAGAATTCTTTCTGACATGTATAAACAAACGAGGCTGAGAACTTCACAAAGCTATTTGGGTTTGATACATAAGAAATAATCCGCCGGTAAGACCATAAGCGATTTTTCTAGGAAACCCAAGGGGTGGTAAAAATCGAATACCATAATTATGGAGCAACTATTACGGGGACCTTATACGCATGACAAATAACAAAGTTACCTAATGCAAGCAACGGCGTGGCAAACTCGTTAAAGTTGTATTGTTGCACCAAGATATCGACCCCGCACACAAGTCCAGAGTTGTGACGGCTGCCATTCAAGAAGCTGACTTCGATTTGATAGAACATCCTCCTTATTCATTGGACCTACTTCCTAGTCATTTCTACCTATTTCCGCGGTTAAAGAAACGTGTCAGAAATCGAAATTTAAAGATAATGATGCAGTATTCGCTGCGGTATACGATTTTTTCAAAAAGTTTATTTTTAAAAGAGAATTTTAGTTTTTGAAAAAATATATACAAAGTGTATCGAAAGTTAACTACATCAAAAATAAAATTTATTTAAGAATTATAAAATCTACGGAATGTGTTATGTATGTTTCCCGCCGCACTTTATACTTCGTACGCCATTTAAACTTAAATTGAAAATCTAAGTGCCCTCAAATTCTTGGGTAGCTGTGTTGTACATGGTGTAATGGTTGCAGCTCCTTACAAATGTTGTGTAAAAAAAACATGGCGACTAAAAAGTATTAAAAAGTTCTGTTCTTCTCTTCCGTTCTACGCACTTGATTTGAGAACTGGTACTAAATGTAAAGTTAGAAGCATTTCATAAACATTTCTTTTTTTGACGTGTACAATGTGGTTACCTATATGATTAAATGATTTTTGAATTTGAATTTGTGTCCAAACTGGCTTGAGTAGGTATTTTTCACCCGGTTAAGTAGCATACAGCCTGTAGTAGGTTGACTACATACCCCTCTTAAGTACCATCCCTGGTTCGGTATTTCCAGCTCGGCAAACAATATGCACGGTTGGCAGATCACGTAATTCTAAAAAATCTGAACAGAACCAGAAATGTGACTGTCAGACAGCACATCACCATACTCACGGTCATATTACACCTCTTCCACGCCGCTTCATACACGTCTCCATACTGGCCACCGCCTAACTTGTGCTTCATCACAATATCCGTACGATCAATTTCCCACTCGTCAGGTGGCGCCAGAGGAAACACAGTTGGTTTGTTTCGCTTCGGCGCAGGGTAGAGCAGTTGGGTGATAAGACCATCGCCAAGAACCGAATGGTGATGAACTAGTTCTGCTAGTGTCCCAAATTTGGATTCCGACGTCACATACACCTGTAATAATACCATTATTCGTATTTTATTCAAAATCCCAAATCCGAAATTCATTTTGTGTAGCTTTATGATCCCATGATCATTCTGTTAAGTGGTTGATTCTTTACCTTAGTAAGTGTCAAAATAAGTTAGCATATGGACAGGCTATCCAATTAGTATTAATATTTGTTGTGCCATCGTTCTTCATTACATAACTCTCTTATACCTCGGAACTAATGTGTTCGCGAGTTGAATAGTAACACCATCAACATTCCAGCTTTACGGCTACATCACAATTATTTCATTAGAAAAATCGCAGACGTTTTATATTTTTAAATCGAACTATATAGAAAGTATATAAGAGTACCTATTCTATGTAAATGCAAAGCTTAAACAAAAATAACTAGACTGTTTGTCATTGAAAAACTGAAAGGGTTGCTAAAATACATTTTGTCAGTTGATTTATTTTTATTGTGCAACACCACGTCAAACTTTTTAATCAACACAGTGTGAAAGAATACACGAGTAATAAATATACTCAATTTTTATTTCCGGATGGTGATGTTCTCATATTTGTTAGTTTATCTGCCGTGTTAAGAACTAAATTAATATACCCCACCGTTCTTTATCGTAATCTAAAAGTAATAGTTCACGAATTTTTTTATTAAGGCAGCAATTTTGGTTGTCCAATACCTAAAGTAATGGTTTATATTATATAAGGCAGGAGTAGGCTTAGGGTCAAAATATAAAAATGTAAAATAATTAATAATTTTAATGCAGTCTAAATCCAGATAAAATACGCGAACAATTACCTTCTCTCTAAAATCATCAATAATACACGAATGTAATCCTATGGGCTTAAATAATATTCACTATCCCAAGTCAGGTCTGCTCTTCTTTTAACTTTTTGCCATATAAAAGCTTCCTGTTACAAATCAGTAGGTTTATAAAAAATCTTATTGCTACAAGATACTATACAGGAGCATTCAGAGCTGTTTTAAATCTCAGCAACGTACGCATATGTATATAAGCTTTTAAGGCAAACTTCTTCCACTGTACGCCATACAAAAGCCGCGAGGGAATAAAAAGCTTATTTTGTTATAGCGCGTCACCCCTCAGGCTAATGAAAGCACACAGCTAACACACAGTAAACATCTTAATTAAGAGAAATTTTGCGTCAGATTTCTCGAACTAATTAATTCTACTTTGCTTGAAACTTATTGGTAATTGGATAGTCAAAGCTACTAAGAAACTATACTAAGCTTTCGTACTGTAGTTAATATTTATAAGTTAGAGGAAACTTTTGCTTAGTAGCAGTCTTTTGAGAGATTATTTCCTTAAAGCTTTTAGTTTAAAATTATTAACTTTAATAAACTTGTTGAATAGTACAAGCAAAGATTGCTTTGAAGACATACTATCCAACTTTCAACTTATATAATACATTCATACCTATATTGTATGTACATACCATTATATACTACTAACGCCCGGAATTTATAAATAGTAATATTCGTAGCATAAGAGCAGTGTCGGCCTAGTGGATTCAGCGTGCGACTCTTATACCTGAGGTCGTGGGTTCGATCCCCGGCTGTGCACTAATGGACTTTCTTTCTATATGCGCATTTAACATTTGCTCGAACGGAGAAAACATCGTGAGGGAACCGACATGTCTTAGACCCAAAAAGTCGACGGCGTGTTTCAGGCACTGGAGGCTGATCACCTACTCGTCTATTAGATTTAAAAATGATCATGAAACAGATTCAGAAATCTAAGGCCAAGACCTAAAGAGGTTGTAGAGCCACTGATTTATTTATTTTTAATATTCGTAGAGTTTTATAAGAAAAAAACAATTTGTCGTATAGAAAACGACTCCTCGCAACGTAGTTTTTACTTCGTACACACATGCCATACACATAATCGTGTAATGTTAAAGCATGCAGAACGGGGTTGCGCCATTAATTAATCAGACTTCTATGAAACGAGATCTAGACATATAGGCATAGACACCGTAATGGTCGCACTTTCAACTAGGCGCGACCCCTTCCTACGTTCCCCTCGATTCACACGGACTTATTCGATCCATGCTACAATCCTCGTGTTACCGACGTCTAATCTAGGTACTTAGCTAAGGGCGTTTTCGTATACAAGGTATAAAATTGAATCCTTGTAATTAATATCAAGCCTTATATTTACACAGTGTGTGTGATCGCACATATCTCGATTTTTAAAACGTTCACTATAAGAAATGTAAAAATCTATTTTATTAGTAATACTACTATACTACATCAGGTCCGTTATTGACATAAATAAATTAATTATAAATTACGTTATAGTTTATAGAACGCCAATAGTACCAATATGCTGTTGAGTTTGAACTAGAGCAAACACTAAAATTATTTTAGTTTAAAAACACCCACAGTGAGTTCAACGACTGCCTTTTTTTAATACTCGTACAATTTGAATTAAGGTGGATTATTGATATCTGCATAGCTTTACGTTACGTGTACGTAAGTTTCCATTTTGTTAACGTCAGTGCTGAATTTAACAGTAAGACTGCTTTATTTTATGAAGAAAAGGAAAAGAGTTTTGAGTGTAAAAAGATAAATCAGTAGAAAAACAAAAATAAAAATTATTTCAATATGACAACATATAACACAATACACCAACAACTAAATAAACTATAACACAAAAACCGCTTACCTGTAACAACTAGTTAAAAACCATTTCAAATTAAATGTTTATGTGTCTTATTTTATTATAATTAAAAAGGCCTCTTGTTTATTAATCAAACGAATTCAAAAATATGTTACTGAGATGAAAACTTGGTTCAAAATTAAAAGCTTTTCATTCAAGTGTGTATTCAATACAGCTTATTCAAGTTCCGTTTAATTTACAGCGAGAGAGTTAGTTATAAATAAAAATTAATAGCGCTCAAGCTTTAGAGCCATTTGCAAGTTTGTCCTATATTTATTTAAAACTTAATAAAGCAATGAGGCGATTTGACAGTTTTTTAATGTTCATTATATATTTAAGGTGTGGTGTAAAACTTTGGTACTGCGATCTAAGAAAGCCTAATTATTGTTATTAAAAACAATGGTGTTATTTAAAATTACGCAGATTGCAGCGCGTAAACCTAGTTCCAAAAAAGGATGTAAATGTGAGTATGTATACATTTTGCACGTCAGCTTAGGGGTATACTTTGCAAGAATATAGTAAAACATGAAGGAGTGCTACTTTAAATTAGAAATATTCTCATTATAATATATAAATCAGTCAAGTACTTATGTAGTTTTAAAAGACATACTTTGTCAGACAGTGTTAGCGACTGGACGTATACTTTCGGGACGTAACTCCAATGATTAAGGTAATCTCCGCGCTTATAAGCTAACTAACTATGAAAACCTACAGTTTAAAAGACTCGGTTCTCTTTAGTTAAAGAGGAATTGATGTTTATTTTGATTTGTTGGTTCAGTAGCTCGTACTCTTAGAATTTACTGATTCTAATGAAAAAAATATTGTTGAATATAACGGTTCGTTTACCGAGGTTTTAGGCACATCACGCTGAATTAACTCTGGTAAAACTATGGCGCAGCTAGTAATTAGTAATAGAGGTACTATCATACACTCACTTTTCCATCGGAGTCTTCATTAATGCGGTAGTGGTACACGCGTCCTTCGTATCTTAAGGAAATGCTTCTTTGACCGGGACTCGATTCAGACTCACGGACCTGTAAGATTAAACATAGTTTTTTATTAAATATATTAATTTCCAGTAATTACAGTGTCAGAAATGTAGGAATCAGGGTATAAATATAATTAAAAATGTCTAGTTTATAAATTGCATATATTTTTGGTCTAATATCGAAAGACCCTAAACTTTCAGCTTTTTAGGCAACGAGCATTATGTCTAGTATTAATCTTTACCAACCTAAAATATAAATATCATTTTTATTAAAAAAAACCACTAATGTATACCATGTACACAAACGTAATATATTTAAAAAAATAGCACATTTCAACTACATTATACTCATGCAAATATTTAGTAAAGCGAGTTCTAAAGTAGTTTTATTGGTTGTATTAGAATGCTTCACCATTCACAATCGAATATTCAATAGGCTGTTTGAATTTCTTTTCGTTTCCGAGATGCAAAATCTTAACATGAATATTCAATTCGGAAAAATGCGGGCAAAATCCAATTGCTTCCAAAACCAAGTCTAAAATAAATCAACTGTTGGCCTCGCTTGATAAAATCAATGTGCAAGTTAAGCTCAATCTGTTACTACCGAGAGTTCAGATCCGCGTCGAAAATATTTCAGTAGAGTTCAAGCAAGTAATTAAAACAGGATGATCCTGGATTCGCCCACTTGAACTTTGCATGACTCTACACGATGGCGTCGTTAGTATGAAGACGTACTTTATTCTAATTTTCTAGTCATTTTAAATTTAATTTAACAAGTTTTTTTGTCTTTTATATTTACAAGTGTAATAACCGGGAATATGTAGGTTTACAATTAAATAATCTGAAATTAAACCTTAACAATTTTACGTCCTACTTCAATAAGGCTATTAGGATTGATTTAATTTAATATTTATTATCGTTATATAATCCACAATGAAATTTAAACTTCCTCGTTTGAGTCACTCTTTCTTGGAGTAATTTGAGCTTATCACGTTCAGATAATGAGTGTACCGAAAATTTTTAAGAAAGTTCAACTGATAATGAGTGAAAATCGCCCAACATGGACAATAATGACAACAGCGAGTGCGAAGCCTTTGTATAACCAATGATTGTTGAGATTTCTATTAATTCGAAAATATCTACCACAGCGTGGTACATGACGAAAATTTCCTTCTAACACATTCGATTGTGAAATGGGACGTCGAGGTGATACGGGTCGACAGCCGACTTTGAAAGTCGATCCGAATTATTAATAGGAACAACTCTACCGTGATATATTATGTTAAAAATAATAAGGGAGTCGATATCTCTTTGCATCGCTATTTTATCAAATAAAGGTAAACGTTTTAAATTACACAAGCCAATTATTTAAAATAAAATCCTAAGTAAAATCTGCTTAGCATAATAAATAGATTATGATAATATATGTATTACATTTGTGTTTCTTGATCAGATGTGTATAATAAACGTAGAATTATTACTCAAAAGAAAACATTATATCAATATTAACAATTCTCGTGAAAATATGGGAATGTGAAATTCCACCCGCATATATGTTATATAGAGTGTTATCAGTTACATATATATAAAGTTACAGAAATAATATATTTAACAATTCAGTCCAAATATCATCCATGGCTATGGATTCTGAATTGTTCATTACATTAGGATTTAAATTTACCATTGTATCAACTCGCAATGCTTTCCTTTGTCCTAGGAAGTATATGACCTCAAGAGTTACGAAACGCTTCTTAAATTAGTTGGACATTAACTTATTAATACGAACAAATTTAGTTTTGAACTTAGAATTTAGTAGCAATAGGAGAATGAATATGAATATAAGTTTCAACTTACGCCGTCTAGTTGCAAACTTTATACGAAGAACTCATTACTTACAAAGTTACTTCTAAAATCTATAAGATGTTACTTGAGTATGATTTAATATACTTATTACTGCGCTTATTACTTTGCACTTAGACAAACTTTGGCGCACGACGTGGTAGATGCAAGCATCATTATTACTTAAGGTAAACAACATGATCATTCGTCGCGTAGTCTATAATATAAAAACGATTTTGATATATACCTTCTTGCTATAAATACTGAAACAAAGAAAAAAAAATTATATTGCAAATAACATTTATTACTTTTATCTTGGGAATCTTCGTTAGAGCTTTGAGCATACGTACGGTAATTTTAATTGTTATAATATTGCTCAATTGTAAAAAAAAACTCATCCGCAAACAAAAATTTTCTGTGACCTACCTTTGCGTACCGCTTCAGTAGTTGTTTCGATTTTACCACCCTATTCTTTTTTAAATTATGCGCTACAAGTCCTAAGTCATCTTTTAAAATACGCGACATGGGTCTACGTGCTATCTTCAACTCCCGAGATAAAATCTTTAGCTTTCGGACAGGATTTCTTCGAATTATTTCCCTTACTGCTTTGACCACCTTTTTCGTACGAACACTACGTGGACGTCCAGATTATATTCTGTCAAAAACTCATTGTACCTATTAAAAGCCCGTTACACAAATATTTGACTAATAATACCAAGCGTATGGAGAGTTTTAAAAATTGCATTTGACTCCATACCTCCTTTGTAATGCAATCACAGCGATTCGGTTCACTTTATCACCCCACTCCATTTTATTATCGCAAATTATTGTACAATGTATTAGCGCCAAAATGAGAAAACACAATGAACAATCATATAAAAATGACAGATTCCAAATTCAAATGTTATATTTTGTTAATTTTTAATTGTAACAGTATTTATGGCTAGACTAAGTATATACAAGTAGTGTTTTAAGAACGCCACTCAACCGCAAACAGTAAAATGTACACCTATATAAAATAACGTCATAATTTCCATCGGCAACTTCCCTACGTCCCCGTTGGACACAGGCATTCAAGTCGACGGTATTGTTTCGCCGAGACCTAGTTTCACCGTACTGGCTTGTTAGTACTCTACTTGTGTATTTAAAAACACAAAATGCAAGCATTTTAGAATATAGCCACACATTTAGCACATTCAGAGTTAGAATAGAGATATCCAGAAACAAATTTATTTCGGATATTCCTTATAACACATAGATATTTTGAACACTACTATTATGTTATAATATTTGGTCCTGATGATTGATGCCGATTCCGAGATCCTAATTTTACCTTAGTTATGAAAAAACGATGTATATCTATTTTTTAAATATAGTTCCGATTTTTCTAATTCCTTTCAAAAGTTTTGTTCCTGTATAGACGCACTATTACAGGTATTGAATGTTTCACAAAAGGTCCAAACTAAAGACTCTTAACATTCATTTAGACCTTCAACACAATCACACGTACGACTTACATATTAACAGCAGTATAACGGATAATTCGCATCCGCTCAGTGTTTGCAAGGAACGTTGGCATCAACGGGAGTAAGTACTCGAGATTGATCCACGCTTCAAGTGTCCTCTAACCAGTTCCCGGGTGTCATGAACACTCACGTGACAATAATTTTACTACATATACCTACTATTATACGTACAAAATTATTCTATTCAGCTATTCGTAAGCGATAACCACAATAGATACTGATTAATGCAATTGTATTCATACAAATCGGAACGTAAACTAATCCCGAAAACTTTACTAAACATGGGTTAAAGACTTTAACCCATGGAGTAAAGTTTTCGGGATTCTCGGATTAAATCCGATTAACCGTTAAACCATACTATTCCACGCTTGATATAGTACCGAAGGATTCTTAGTTACATGGTAGTAATTAATAAATGCTATTAATGTATTAATTTACTTAAGAGATGGAAGACCTTTTTTTATAAGTAAAAGCCGCTCATCATTATACGAAACGAACGTGAACGCAACATTTCCGATACCCAGTGAACCAATAAAGCATTAATACCCCGGGGAATCAACTCAACCATGTTGATACTTATTACTTACAGGGGATGCGTCGAATAATACGCTCTAGGAAATCTTCTAGATGCAAAACGAGATCCTCTCGTGAATTGCGAATTCATGCAATTCTCTTAACAAGCTACGCTGTATCTAAATGTATGGTTCCTTTTTAGCGATTTCTCGCTATTTAACGTTATCCTCTTAACGTTAATCTGTATGCACTAGAGTTTAAATTAAGGTATCAAATAAATTGAATACCTCATCCGCTGTAAAATGTTTTTTGAATTTTAGTTTTACATATTGCAACTAAACCTATTTTATAAGTTGAAACGAAATAAGGCGAAGCGTATTCGTAAAATTGTTTCGTTTAATACAAAATGTATTAAACGGAGAACGTGGGTTCAGACTTTCACAGGAAACTAAACAAAGACCGGGTTATATGCTGTGCTTGTGTAACTAAGCTACGGAGACATGATTCAATAGTTTCAAGATATTACTTACAAGGAAGCTTCCGTTGATCCCCGATGATAGAAGATATTCAGCCGCATTACGAGCAATGGGACCGTGGTACCATGAGTGCTTCTCCAATGAGTTGACAGGTGTGACGTAGTTACTAGGCACCCATCCCACACCGCCGCCCAACGTGTGCGCTTCACACCACTCGCCGCTTTTGTTGTAGCTCATTATACGCACTTGTTCACCTATTAATGAATAAATGGCAAATTAGTATGACACGTCAACATACGAACAATAAAAACATATGATAAAACATATTCGCATCGTGTGACGCCTGTGTGATTGGACAAAAGATGCTTTTGACGGCCATAAGGCTTCGATCATACGTAAAGCATTGTAACCAAGTACCCCCGCTCGGATACACAAAATCATTTCGATTTAAAATTTTAATAAATGTGTGCGTTTAATAATATGCCCAAATGTTGCCATACCGAACTGAAACCATGTATAACACTTTTAAGGAACGTTTATTCGATGCTTGTACACGATATTGTTTCTTGAGTTTTTTAAAGGTCATACGACCATTATTGGGAGCCTGCACTGCAAGTTCTTTGACAGAAGTTTAATAGGATTAGTACGACATTGTACTCAATACTATCCATACAAAATGCAGTACAATGACAAACAATGACCTAAATTCAGTTGGATAATAGTTCTTCTGCGAAAAAATCACTAAATTAAGGTTAGTAAGCATTCAACAGAAATAATAAAATTCAAAAATTCGAGATCAAGTATTATTCTTAAACTAGGTACGATTACTCCGATTGTTTTAGAATTGTTGTGTATCTTACGGAAATATTTTATTGGGAATTTAAATTTATTTGTCACGAGAAAATATGCTTTGTTTACAAATCATACATAAAATGAAAAATCAGCTAAACAAAACTCTTATTTTAATTCTAGTGCAAAGTAAGCCAATTCAATTATTTATGTATCAATAGTTAAAAGAAAATTTGGTAGCTTTAATGACGAGTGAGATATTGTATCTTCGCTAATAGATATTAAATATGTACAATAATAGGCATTTCTTTTTTCACACATAGAGAAACGTAAGAGAACTCTAACTTCCGTAAAGTCACGTACTTTAGTTAAAAGCACTCACTCTTAGGACCTCTTTTAGAGCTTTTAGCTCCTAGGCATGAATTACACAGAGGGCTGATAACCTACAAACATATTGGCCAAAATGTCTACTACGAGTATATCTATAGTAACAGTTCTTGCCTCAGTGTGTTTTTTTGTCGCGCATTAAACGTAACTAATACTTTGTTTTGGTTACCGATATAACATAACTGTTTCTGTGTAGAACGCGTTCTATTAATCAAATATCTACTAAAGGTCTATGAACCTTCACACAAGCTGCTACGAGCCTGGTAAGACGATTTCATGCCTCTAGTACTCCAAAAAGTAAAATATATTCACCCCATAAAAGTAACTTACATAACCTACCTTTCTTCAGGCTCAGCTGATTTTCTCCACCAGCCTGGAAGTCGTACAGCGCAACGAAGAGCTGAGGATCGTCTTCTTCGTGATGCGCCAATAGATTTTCTTTGGAAGTCCATCTAAAACACAATTAAGCTACTTAAAGGAACTCATTAAACAATAGATTATAGTATAGTAAGCTAATAAAATTTCATGATATTTTTAGAATCTATATAAGATACTGTCAAATACGCTGACTTAATAGAATAAATATAAGAATAATAATTATTGGGACATTGTTACAATTTACCCTATTTTTCGTATGTGGATTCTACTTAGGGCCGATTCGACCAAACAAGAGTAAATCTTAATCTTAGAATAAATCATCAGTTAATCGAGAGTAAATCAATTTTACGTTTTACCAACTACAAATTCTAAGAATAGTGGGCTTATTCGGGAATAGCTACTATACCGCCGTTTCGCACGGAATAACAGCTATTCCTAGAATAATTTAATGGCGTCAGTCAGTCCAATCAGCTGATTTCTGTCATTTCACAAATATGTATTCTGTGTTTTAATTTCAAGTCAACGCAACGCACTAAATTAATAGTCTGGCATTGTATAATGAAACGTTTAAACAATTTATTATTTATTTATTTATTTTTAGATTTTTATTTTCTATAATATTAGAATGAAATTCAACTAGGCTCAACAGAAGTTCCTTTTTAGACGAAAGCCTCAAACAAACAAGAAATAAAAACTTTTTGTTGTCGTTTGACACCTGTTAAAAGCTACTTTTTCACTCTATAATACGGCAAAAACGAGTTGACATGATGTATGCTCTTACACTGTCCCGTTGTAGAACAACATTTATTTGCCGAGTTTTATTTTCGTTCACCATTCTCTTGCTATTCGCGTATTGTTATTCCTAGCGCAATTATACTATCGATTACGTGGACAAACGACTATGGATTTACTCGAGATTAAAATCAAGGAATAGATTATTCTTGGTATAGTTACTCGTGTATAAATTGAAGTTTGGTCGAATCGACCCTTAGTGACATTCGCATTTTGTGCCAACATAAGATCATTAATGATACAGCACATTTATCATACACTATATCCGGTCACATAGAAAGTTGTTTGAAATATATATTTACTAATTAACATCATATTACGCAATTTATGAATTAGCTTAGTTTTATTCTGATCGAAATGAACCTACATCTTGCCTTTGAGTTCATTTGAACAAGTTTTGCTGAATCACGTATATTAAACGAAAACTTTTTTAACACACAAATAATTTAATTTTAAGACTTCTATAATATAGAAATGACATGTTAAACGTGATCAACACATGAATAGGTTTTTTTAGAATTATTTTTATATTCTAATCTAATATTACAGGAAAATAAATATGTGCATGGCCGCGATTCAAAAGTCTTATTCCAGGGTTAAGAACCACATGCTTAGCTTTAGCTTAGCTACACATAAAAAATCATTCCAAACCTTAAGCGTTCCACTCAATTACATATATTACGAGCAAGATTATTGGCTATTACCGCATCGGTATTATAATATGTAGTGTCCCATTAAAACCTCTAAACTAACTTTTTATAAAATCGCATATTATATTATCAGTTCTTATAAGATAACAATATAGCGAATCAGTGTTAATCTATATACTCATACGAAGGCGAGCGTAACCAAGGTCAGTTACTGCAGCAGTTAATAAAATAATATGTAAATAACTACGAAATCTACTTACATCTCATTACTACGGTGTCAATTATTATTTAGTTATAGATAAACTATATATATATATATATATTTCGTGGTAAATCTGACTTTCATTTGTTTCATAAATTGCACTTAGCCAGTCGGTGATTAAAGACGCATTTCTTCGGATTACGTCCTGCATCATATATCTATCCTACAGGAAGATTATTAGGTAGATTCCTACGTTAAACACAAAATCGGCTCGCTAATTTCATTATTGCTATCAAGTTACCAAGTTCACTATTATATAATTTTGCTTACCTGTTCGCCGAGTCCAATGGTTGTGGCAATGGTGGTGCAGCTGCCTCCCCATCTGGTAAATCTGGTATATGGGGAAGCGGACGACTTTGCAGCAACGCTTCTGAAACAAATAAAAAGCCCCGCATTAAACAGAATTAAAAAAATAGTATATTGAGTTACCCAGCAGCATGACATTAAGATACAGATTAAATAAATTAAAAAAAAAATACATATAGACCATTTTAATAGCTTTAGCTTTGCGACCCAGAACGTGTCTTGGCCTCGGAAACGAGAATTTATTTTAATTAATAATAATAATATTTATAATTGCCATAAAATTAAGCATTTTGATCCCCAATGTAGTAAAAACTATTTCAGGAGTCTATGATATTAAAGTAAAATAGTGTAATAGCTTAAATATTAAAAAATAAAGCAAATAATATGAAGACGCAAAAGGCAGTCGCTAACCGTTTAACCCAAAAATACAATGACAAATCCACATGTATTTTTGTGTATGTTAAAATGTAGTTTAATATAAGGCATTTTTTTTGCCTTATATGCATTTTATTCTCTAACTAAAATAAGCCAATACAAATAAGAAATAGTATTATATTGACTTTTCAATGTGTTTTTTAAACGAATTTATGTACACTGTACAATTGACATTGTTTTGCCAAATTCCTGTAAAAATAATTCATATATTCTTGGAACTTTCATAAGATTCGTAACCAATATCAGCGCATTATATAAACAAGTTTTTATTAGCATCTGTTATTGCTATTTTTATATGGATTCTATATGATCAGTGTATACAAATATGAGTGTATTTTTGGACAAGAAATAATTGTCTTTTTGTATAATTTGTTTGTTCACTAAGTGCAGATTCCAAAGATTCTATCAGGTGGTCCAGCGTTGAAAACTTGCATACCAGATGGCAACTTACACAAAGAATATACCAGGATATCTGGATGAGATGGCGAGAAGAGTATTTAGTAAGTTTACCTCCTGGAAAAAAGCCCTCAGGAAGAATCGTAAACCTGCAGGATAGGACCGATACATGAAAGTTGTATCTTAAGAGCCATAAATAGTTAAATTATCTATATTATTAAGGTGACCTATCCGACAAAACAAAACAATTCAACATAACTATGTTTGTAATACGAGAGATAAGCGACTCCTTTCGCATAAGCTTTTCCCACGGGGGCACGCGCTAGTACTCTTATCACTGTAAACAATTTGTTCGTCGTACTTGATGTCCATTTCGTAGAAGTAATATTAGGTTACCGAGAGATAATTAAACTCATTGATAACTCTATGAATCATCACTCTCATAAAATTAAACACAACAGCGATACTCGTATATTGTTTATTTTATTACAATTGTGTGCAGTAAGTTTGTATAACCATTCAAGCCTATCTGTACAATTTTTTCTTTTTGAACTAAATTAATCTTAATTAATTAAATCTCTTTGTTCCATTTTTTTAAGTCTCATGGTAAAACACCGTCCCCTTTTACCACAAATATGTACAAACAAGCTTGACCATGAGTGTATGTCAGCATTTCATATAGGTTGACATTTACCCACGTCATGTATGTGTATAAAATTCTCGTGTCACAATGTTCGTCCCCATACTCCTACAAAACGGCTCGACCGATTCTTATGATTTTTTTATGCATATTCAGCAAGTCTGAGAATCGACTACTATCTATCTTTCAAACCCCTAAATATTAAGGTTGGTCCACACCTAAATTTTAATTCTTTAGATATTTTTTTTTATTTGTTAATTAAAATCTTATGACATAAACTCTAAGGTTTATCTATATAAATAAATTTTTCTCTATAGAAAAATTCACAAAAAAATCTAAAACGTTTTTATTCCAGAAAACCGAACAGTCTTTTGGATAGCATAGGAAAATAAAATACATACTAATGTACTAAAAAGGTACGCTAAGTAAAGTTACATTAAGGAGAAACGAAGTTCGCGGGGGCATCTAGTATTTCTATAATTAAATCGTCTGTTCGAAATCGCAACTCAACTGCGATTCTCCTACTAATTTATTATGTAACATACGTATAATTGTCTAAATAGTTAAGTTATACTCAACGAACCAAGATAGGAGCTTTTCTCTATTATTTCCATGAATGGAACAAACATAAATCCTTTACTTGTTTTGAATAGAATTGCTTGATATTAAAAGTTTAATGACTTAAATTGAAAAGAGAGCGATTAATCTTGACGCTTAATAAGACTCCAGACTAGTTTATAGGATAAAGTTGGATAACACTGTAATCGAATAGTGTTAACGCCTAGAAGATTAGCTTTTTAATTCGGCGATTCAATATTCTCATAAACTGAATAATAACTAATTTTACAGGAGAAAGATTTTAATTACAAGTCTTGAATAATTTTAGTCTAATTTGTGTAGTTAGTATGCACATAGTAATAGTAACACCAATACAATGAGTAATCAAAATCTTAGTCCCGATTGACAATTAAAGTACAATTTTGTGTTTTTGATATCAAAATTGTACTTTACTTCTAAGTCTGGACTCTAAATATTCTACAGTTAAGCAGCATAGATGATGCGAAATGTTTGGAAAAAATAAATACATAGCGTGTTTACGAAAATGTCAACATTTCTTTTCTCTGTGTTTATAGTAATATTTATTTATTAACTATTCATACATAATTTATAAAAAGAGGAGTTTATAGGGTAGTGTAATCAAAAACAACGAATAAATATACAGCTTATTTACCAATAGTTAAATGTTGTTTATGGGACAAAACAAAATTTAAATTGTGCTTACTACGAAGTTACATAAGTAACCAAACATTGATACAAAATAACATAACAATAAGTCGATGCGAGTAAATTCAACAAATTTAAACTGATGTATTGAAATAATGTTCTTTTGTAATCTTAAATGGAACAAGGGGTCTGTCCAATTGTTTTTTAATACGCAATCATCGTCTTGAAGGTACCTTCACAGATATGGAGCTCGGAGCAGTGGAAACGAAGGCTCTTTACGTAGCCATTTGTATATATAAAAATCAGGATATTATTATCTGTACTGTGAACAGAACCCTTTCAAAAGATTAATTAGTTTATTATGAAACATTTCAGTTCATTTACATTCATTCAGTTGAGCCATTTTGTGAGATTCGAAATAGCACACCAAAAATGAGTTTCGGTGGTCTTAATCTTTAAATATAAGTTATTAACTAATGGAAAATAAAAGTTCTGTAGATAAAATTTACTAACTACTAATAAGCGATAATTTAATGGACGCCTTTGAGGCATAAGTGAGAGAGACGTAAGTGCTTATACTAATAAATACTTGTTACAATTCATTACAAAGTAGGGAAAATGAAGAATACCGTTCCTACAACATAATATGGCATTCAAAGTACAGCTATAACAACAGCCCGGTTGCTACTATAATAACCAAACGGCATTGCTTGTAATGCATATGACCAGTTTGGAGATCTAGACCGTAGACGGTGTAACACAAGGACACAATGTATTTCTAGAAACAAGAAATTCGAAAGACAAAAAACCCGTGCACAAGACGACCATGGAAGAAAACTTGAAATCGATAATGCATCGAGCCGTATGACTCACAAGTATACACATACAAATATGTTTCACTAATTACTTTTGTTAACGACTGGTGATTTTATTTCGGTATATGTATATTGTATATACATATATTATATATATACTACTAGCAGACCGGCCAAGCGTTGCTGTGGCTAAGGTTTTTGTTATATTACATAGTAGCAAACTATTCAAGGGAAACGGTAGGAGACCACCAGTCATGGGGACCACCATGCTTTTTGGTGATTATGCCATTAAATTGTAGCTTATGTGAAACGTTGGTACTTTCAACACAGCGCCACCTGTTAAAATTGTGGCTATCAAATAATAAACTAATATTTTGCAATAAAATAATATTGCGGGTATAAATTGAGATGTAAGCTATCCTATCTTTTAAGTTGGATCAAACTACACACGATGTGCAAATTTGATTGATATCGGTTCGGTAGTTTAGGAGTCCATAGCGGACAAACAACGTGACACGTAATTTATATATATCAAGAAGATATAAACCAAATAGCACTAGAGATTTAACTTATAACTTGAGTGTGTTTTACTATAATTATTTGAATAAGCGGTTTAATGACGTCCAAACTAAGCCACAACGGGGATCAGTACGGTTATAAAAATATCGTTACATCATAACATATTCAGAAGTGAATTGGCCTCACTTATATTAACTTATTTAAAATATCATTTCGTTGCAAAATAATGGATTTTTTAATACAACCTATGCCGAAGGATATGCCTTCATTATTTTTAAATATCGTCATTTATCCCTTATATGTGATATTCAAAGGTTCCAATAATTAATAATATAATGGCGAATAATGGCTATTTATTTTTAAATACCTCCTACATCCTTCATTAAGTTTTAATATCGACATTTAACGGCCTATGAAGCGCATCTGTCACGACTCAAGCCATAAAGAATATTGCTCATATTTAATACCTACACGAAATGTAAGAGTTTAGTTAAAATCAAGTCACACACGTTGCCAGTTCGCCCTCGCCAGTCGCCACATATGGCCACCGCGATGCCTTGTCGACCGAACTCCGTCACGTGACGACGCTACTTCAAAATGTACTGACAATCACTAAATATAAAGCAGGCATGCACGTGTTTGACTTCATCAAAAAAACATTACAAATATATCTATGGCTTTTACACAGAATTTCACACCAAACTATCATCAATTTTTAGGTATACACAGTACATAAAACTAAAATATACCTACTAATATTAATAAGGACAGAAAGTGGCCTACTTTCAGATGAAGGAATAAGAGAAGAATATTTCTATATAATCGATTAAGCTCCAAATTAAAAATAGTAAAGAATCTCATTTTCATATTGGCGACTTAGCAGAAGTAAATAAATGGCTTAAAGATCTATAGTAGCGGAAAATATATACAAGTAATCTTGAAGGTTTGAAGACGAATATTGATATATAAAACACTAGAAAAGTATACATTGGGCCCTTAAGAGAAAGTACCAATTCATCTTATGTCTGTACCTGA